GAAAAGTCCCGTCTGAGGCTTACTTGGCTCGGAGTCCTACTCAAGTACGGTCTCGTCTGTTTATCCGTCGGTTGTCTACCGTCGGTGCTTGTTGCTAATAAACTAGCGTCGATATCGTCGAATGTAAATTCGCGGGTGACTGTTACATTAGTCGGCGTATTATAAGTTTCGCTTTCGCTCGAATTGGAATCTGTTAACGCGTCTCGCGCGCTTTCTGCTAATTCTGTTGCGTCGGTCGCGGTTTGCACAAGAGTTCGCGGGCTAGTGTATAGCGTGCGTCGCGCCGATTTACTTAATAGCCACGACTTATTAGGGGTCGGTTTATTATAATCGTCCTCTCCGTCGGACATTCGCAACGCAGGAATAAATTTACAAAATGACTCACAGTACTAGGGCGATACGCATTTTGCTGGACTCGTAGTGTAAGTCCCTCGTAGTCCCTCGGAGCCTCGTCCGCGGCTGCTGCTGGCGGCGTCCGTCGTCAGGTGACTCGGTGTTACCGTCGGTCCTCGCAGCCTCCGTCGGATGTCGTCGTCTATGGGCGTCGACCTCTGCGTCTACGGTTGTTGCGGTGTCTCGTGTCCTCACTTTGGTTGCTCGGCTTGTTTTCAGCCGTGTCAATGGCGTATCAACTGCCAGTGACGTCTCTATTTCGTTTAAATTTCTGAGAAATAGAGTAAGGAGACAAAAATTTAAAAAATTTTTTTTTTTTTTTTTTCTCCTGCCCGTTACCACTGCGCGGTTTTTCGGGTCTTTAATGCGTTCTCTCTGGCGACGAAGCTCGTCGGACCTTAAGTGACACTCCCTAAGGGCGTCTGGCGATCCTCGGTTTTGTACCGTTTGCTTCGCTGATCCCACCGCTGCCACCAATTTTGTTGTACCCTTCGGTGCAACAAAGAATATTCGTTATCGGGATCGGTCTGCCTTAAGGGTAGGGACCCACGAGGATACGCGGAGGAGGAGTAAAGACACAATCGCTGGGCACTGTTTCACAATGATTACACTTTTATTACTGTTTCGTTATAAGTGGTCCCTGATATATTACAGTT